TTGAAGGCAGTGTTCTAAAATCTCTTAAATTCATTGCCATTTAAATAATCTTCAAACTCTGTATTTTAAAGATAAAAAGGCAGTTTTTATAAACTCCTATTTATAAAGGGAGTTAAAATGATATACTTAAAAGATATAACAAATTTTGATACATCTACAAAAATAATTAGAAAATTTTTCATCCAGTAATAACAATCATAAAAAATCATAGTCAGAAAATACCATTTTATTCCTCTCATACTAGCAAAGAGGGTTTTTGTTGTTCTTGTTTGGTTTTTTGGTTTTTGTTTTTAAGTGGAAGAGTAGCCATTATCTGTGAGGGAACATTGAAGTAACTGCTGTGGAAGCATAAATAATACAAACTTTGTAGAAAACAGTTTAGCAATGCATATTAAGAGCCTTTAATATACCTTTAAATTTGTGCTTTGGCTCTAACCTAAGATTCACACAATATAATATAGAGATCTTCGTTGCCGTACTTTCTTTAGTATGTTCTGAATGTTAAATGTTCTATAGGAATTAATTACATTGACTATTTCAACATATATTACACTTTCTGAAAATGTTATTTTTGAAAACTTAATGCTTTAATCAAAATTACTTGAAATATCTGGTAAACTCATAATTTGTTATTGATTTTCATTGATTTTCATTGATTTTCGTTGTATGTTACATAAGCTACCAGGTCCCATGACTTACTGACAGTTTTGTTTTTCTGCCTGCTTCCTCTCTTGTCCCTTTCTTCTTTTGGTCTTTTTAATATATTATCTTCTAATAGTCTTTCTTTTTGTTTACTAAATTTCATTCTGACTTCAGTGGTTTCTTATTTTTTTAACCATACTGTTTTTAATTTTTAAATGTTTTTCAGATTCTGTCTAGATTTAAAACTTTCTTTGTTTTTTTTTCTGTTTGTAGATATGATATAGTCAAAATCATATTTCTTTGTTGTTTTCATCCTGGAATAAATAACAGAATGCTAGGAATTATATTATCACCATACCTTTAAGTATATTGTACAATGAATTTTTAAGGAACACTTAAAAACTTATATATTTCATTTTTAAATTGCTTTTGTGGTCAGGGAATTTTTATTTAATAAAACTTTGTTGCATTTTGAAGTCATTTTTTATGTAGAAAATTATTTCTTGACCATACTGATTTTAACGTTTCTTGAAATAGGTTTTGTGATTGAAGGTACATTTTATTGGAGGGAGTAATTACGAGAGGTGATCACTATTGGAAACCATGAGGGGGATAGAATAATTAACACTTCTTTGCTGTTATGGATTGCTGGAAGGAGCCAGATTGGCCTGTTATTAAGTTTTTCAAATATACATTTTGTAAAACAAAATAATTTTAGAGTTTTTTTGGTCATGGATTTCAGAATTATATCTAGTAACAGTGGAAATATTTTAGAAGTACAGTTTCTAACTTGTTGATTTCCTTGATATTCTGTATATTAAGCAAAAGGATAAAGGAACTCTTTGTTGAGTCAGGAAAATAACTTGTATTACATTACTGTTTCTTCTAGTTGCTTTACTGTCGTTTGAATGAAGTGTTGTATTATAGACTGTTTGAGAAATGAGGAAGAATATAGTTGTTATAACGGTTTTAGACTGGGAACACAGTAACCTGCTTATTGGTTTCAGCATTCTACTGATTGTGTGACATTTAATCTTTTTCTACTATTTTCCCCCTCTAAGAACACAAGTTCTGCTCCTTATTTTATCTAGAATTCATTTGATAAACTTCTTTCTTTAGCTTCTTAAGCAAAAATGAATATAAAATTAGGGTACTATTCAATAAATTCCCCTAAGGCTGCCCCTCTGATTGCTATTGATGAGAGTCCTGCATTGGGAGGAAGATTAGATTACTAGCAGCAGCTGCTACCATTTATTGAACACTTAATATGTGTATATCTTATCTAATTTAATCTTCACGTCAACTCTATAAGGTAGGTAGTGTTATTTCCATCTTACAGGAAGGAAACAGAGGCTCGGCTCTCCCATAGGTAAGAGGCAGAATCAGGATTCAAACCTAGATTTTTTTTCTGACTCAAAGCCGGGCTCTTTCCACTTATGCTTATATTCCCTACTCTAATACGTCTCTTGATCTAAAGTTCTGTATTTTTCTAAGAAATTTACCTTTATACAATTAACTTTCAGCAGTTAAAAAATTATATAAATTTTCTGTCGTCTGTTAATTGTAGTTATTTCTGTGCCAGAGTACATTTCTTGTGTATTTTCTTTGCGCTTGTAAATAGCGTTTCTACCCCATAATCCTTCGTTGTATGTTAAATCCATTTTAAAATCCATTTTTAGCACTGATATATTTCATGAATCATGCTTTCAGAGTTTAAAAATATATACCGCTAGGATTGATTTTATAAGAAATTATATATTTGCATTTTGACACATTTTGAAGCAGTCATTTTAACATTGGTTTGTATAGCTGATCAATGCTTATTTTACTTCGATGGTTTGAAGGTTATAAACCATTAAACAAACTGCTTTCATGTTTCTGTAAAGCATTGTTTACTAACCTTCATGTACTCACACATAGATAAAATGATAATATTTAATATGTCATACTGGTAAATGGGTCACCATGCTGCTCTTCGACTCAAATATTTGGCCCAGGGAGCCATTCCCCCTTTACCTTCATGTTGTGTCATCTTCTCTACTTTATCTCCCGGTGCTGAGAGGAGTGATATGTTGGCATACCCATAACTCACTTGTGGATGTATAACCTTTGTGAGAAAGTAGACTATAAAATGTCTGTTCTTTGGAGTTATGTGCTCAATAAACATACACATTTCTGGGAAAAGTAAAATTTTTAGTGGTCCATTCTAGAATGTTCACATTATGGATCATTCTAAGTCATGGATTCATGCTGGCCAGCATCTTTTATATGAAGCCTTTGGAAACTATACTCCTTTACTTTTGTTTATAGCTTATAATGATAACGGAAAATCATGATTGTTAAGGGATTTTATTATAAACATTTTACCTTCTGTCACCAACTAAAGCTTCATTGTATGTTACATATGTTCTTTGATCTTGTTCTTGCAATTTAGAAATGAACCTTTAATGTGCTTAAAATATTTGCGGTTATGTGGTAATAGTAACGATAATTGTACCTAACAAAATAACTTGGTCAGGCATAAAATGTGTATTCTTTCAGTTTAACTGTTTATATTGTATACCCTCCAGATTTCAGAAGGAATATTTATAAGGTTTGATGCTTTTTTAGAAAATTTGTTACTATATTTAAATACTGCTGTGTTTAGTAACTTAGCCCAACCCCAGAAGAGTCTGGTGTATGTCATTAGTTTAAAGCTACTGTTGTATAAAAACTTCTGTGAATTTCAGAATAATTAAAGCAATTTAGAATTTTGACCTGAAAATAGCATGAAATGTGTATTGTATAAACCTCTACTGTTTAAATATTTTTCCCCCTGGCTTTCCTACTGCGGTCAATGTCAGCCCAGTTCTTCGCTGGAAACCAGAGAGGCCTCTGATAGTTCTCTGTCTGGTGATTCTCCACCCATCTCTTTTCCCCTATATCTCAACCATTTCAATAGGACTCTTTCATAGTCGCAGTTCTCCTGTTCTAGCTTAGTATCTTACCATTTCCATCCAGTTTTGCTGTTGGAATTATCTTCCCAAAGCACAGTTTGATCATGTCACTTCTTGGCTTAAAATTATTTTTTCTCTTTATCGCCATAGTTAGAGCCAGCTTTGCATAACATTTAAGAAGACCTTTTGCATCTGGTCCCATCACTCTCTTATTTCCCATTCTTCTATTCCCCAGTGTGCGTAGGGTAGGCCTTATCTCCCTTCCCTAATTACCCTATTGTTCAGTCACTGACGTTTCTTATTTTGTTTGTATTCTAATCATGTCACTAACTTTTATCGCACTCACTGCATAGTCTCACAATGGAAGACCCCTCATCTGTACCCGCATCAGATGTTACCATTCTACAAAGTATTCCTGCTACCTCACCCTTTTTTAGAAATATCTTCCTCCAGTGATACTTTATACTTCCTTAAGAGCACTTACCACACTGTGCCTTGGAACATAATTAGTTGTGTAATTCATTCTGTCCTTCCACTAGATTACAACCCTTTTGATGACGCAGCTCATCTTATTTAATTACGGTGTTTTGATGGTTGCTTAATATAAGACAGGGAATACACAGACATGCACTTACACGTACACATTTTCATTTACTCAGTTTAAGTTATCTATTTTTTTATAGCACTGCCACATGCAGTGCTAGTCTCTATGAAGAAGTAAAAAATGAATATAACATGGCTTCAAAGAATTTTTATTCTAGGAAAAAAAGATGATGCAAAAAATTGAAAGGCATTGTACACAAGTGCCATGAATGTACATGCAGTGTACATTATATACCATGTCTACACATATTTGTAAGTATTTTGGGTTTGTCCTTTGGTATTGTATCACCTCTCCACGTACCTGGTTGTGTGTATGTTTGTTAGATTTTTCTACCCATTTGATACACATTTCTGTATAAAAATCAGTAACTATTACAAAATAAAAACTTTTTTATTTAGGTAATTTTATTTTCAACTTTAATAAACTGAATTTAGAATTTAGCTTAATATATTATTTAAGAATCAAGTAATTTTACTTAAATTTAGACTTTTTGAAGTACTGTCTTCATGTATTTGCTAGCCTAGTTTGCTTTTTTTTAAGTGAGGTAATGATGCTGTCATAGTTTCATTTAGAGTAACTGGGGAAAAAAAACTTTGTAGCAATCAAAAATTAATTTTATTTGCATAGTTTGATGTCATGCAATTGTGATACGCTCTTAAGTAACATGGAATTTATTATGCAATGTTTTTGTTTTTCTGAAGATTGGGAAATATGGATTTGATTCTCACATATTATGATATGTTGTACAGATTTGTAAAGTGTCAGTGCAATGTTCTGTGTACTTTCTTTATGCTCTAATATAATTAATTTGTTTCTAGATGCTGGCATCACCATCTACATCAGGTCAGCTGTCTCAGTTTGGGGCAAGTTTATACGGGCAACAAAGTAAGAATTTTGTATTTATTCTGGGATACTTTATTTAAAGAAAAAAAATACCTACCAAATAAAGAATAATGCTGCCCTTGTGGGTTTATTCTAGGGTTTAAAAGGAAAGGTATTTAATTTTCAGTTTTTCTTATTTTAGCGAAAAACCTCATTATTTCAGACCTTTCTAATTCAAGATTATTTGGATACAGGGTAGATCAAAATTTATTTCTTCATCTTTTGTATGTGTATGTTCCTTTGCAGTATTTTTGAAGAAGATTTGCTAAACAAATTAAAAATAGACATTCTCTATGTTTTCAGTTGGAGGAAGTTAAAGGTTTTTTGACTGGTCAGTTAAGGAGGTTGTTTTGTTTGTGTTTTTTGGTCTTATTATTAATGTAAGCCCATTACCTAGCAGTTTGTGAAATGTTCTCTTTGTTTAGCAAATACTTCTTTTACTTTGGCTCAGTCTGGGTATACAATCTCTGTTTTTGACTAACAGTTCAAAGCTTTTTCCATATACAAGATTTTATTTCTTTTATGTGTTGTAATACTTTTATAGCTCTCAGCACAGTGCCTGGCGCATAGTAAGCGCTCAATAAATGTTAACTATTATTATGACATAATTTTTATAAAACTAAATTATAAAATTTTCCTTTTTTAAATTAATTTTCCAAACTTTTATATATTAATAAGATTTGTCATATATTGTAATGTCAGAGGCTGCTGATCTCTCATCTCTGTAGTGGGAGGGGAGTGCTAAAAGGGATGTAAATTCCCATCAAAGATTACAGAATAATAGGGTAACTGAAGCAGACAATCTGATGACCAAATAATTTAACCACCTTCAAATAAAAATCAGTTATGTGATTTGGAACTCTTTCCCAGTATAATAAAAGGCAAAGTTTTGATAGATATAAGAGTAGTTTGTCATACCACTTTACCCTTCAATTTTATTTTGAAATTTAGTAAGGGGAAAAAACTTATTTTGTTAGACAAATATAGTTTCCATCTATTTTTTTTCTCTCTACCTCTTGTGGCATTCTTTTTGCTATGAAACACAATTTTGTTAGTACAGAATTAGTAAGGAAAATTATTAATTACAGATACTAGCTTTCCTCTAGTTAAGTAGAAAACATTTTTAAGCCTTTTATTACACAAAAAAGATGTTGCTTATTTATCAGCAAATGTTCATTCTAGTTATTGAGGGAATATTATTAGCTAGCAGTTTGTTTCATTTGGACTGTTTTTGTTTGAAGCCTACTACTTTCACCTTTCCGGTAACCCTTACGTTCGAAATATCTAGTTAAATTTTAAAGCTACCCTTTATTTCTATAGAGAAACTGCAAAGAACTTACATTCCTTTCTTTTTAAAGCCCACAATTTATCACAGCAGAAAGTAGATAGTGGAATAGAGAAAAGTTATATTTGAGAAGCCAAGGTTATTTAATGAAGGAGAATGGCAATTATTTTACAATATAATCAGCTATATGGACTTTGAAAATCTGATCTAATTTTTTTAACCTACAAATGTGAAGTTATAATTGGGCTAAGTTATAGAATGGATTAGGTTTGGAATATAGTTATTTCATTGGTAAGGTAGACATTTATTGACTTAATTTGTATACATGATTGTGCTGATGGTTAAGGATATACAAAGATTAATAAATGAGCAAAGTTATTTTCATTAGGAAAAGTATTTTAAGGTACTTAGTAATTTAAAAAGAAGTTACATATGACAGATATTTCCTGTTGGAGTTTAGTATAATAAATGGCATTGATGAACCAGCATTTTCAATTCATGGCTCACTCTTTTAACTGACATTGTAGGTATTAACTTATTTTAAAAAATGAACCTTAGATCAACTGAAACTGAAATGTCTCAAGTCAGGGTACAATCATTCCTTTCTAGTGCACAGATCTAGAAGCTACAACTAGTAAAATAAAATAAAATAAAACAGAGCCTGAATTCCTAGTCACTGTCTGTTAGGATAGAACTGACAGGGCCAGATAAGTCTCTCAGCTGGTAAGTAGTTTGAACACACACCTTCTCAGAGAGAACACCAGCTACCATGTAGGACTTGAGGGTCAGGGCTTCGGTAGTATAAGTAAGTCAGAAAGATAAAACTTGAGGGGCTGACCTTATTTAATAAAGGATGGGGAGATAGAATAAGTAGGTGGGAATAGATTCATGATGTTATTCTTATGGCAGCTAACTTTAATTGTGCATTAGGCTTGATATTACAAAGTTCTTTTGCCCCCCAAGTGTATTGAGTACCACCATTAACTCTGTATTCAGATTGGCAAAGTTCAGTAGGAATTTGAGCCATTAAAATGGAGGTTTACTATCTGTTTTGTGTTCTTGATGATTAGAGAGATTAGAGGTGGAGAAGGAGGAGTGCCCTCTCCAAAACTGAGACTCACTGAGTTTAAAACAAGGGAAGGAATTCCTCTTGGAATGGATACAGAGCTGCTTAAAGCTTTCACCAGATTTGGGTGGAAGTGATTGTATAGTACACAAGGGTACCCAGAAAATGCTGAATTAGGAGCTTGTGTGATCATGGGTTCTAGTACAGTATAGTTGTATCCAAATATGTAACTTTTCATCAAGGGTTTATGTGACTACTGTGCATCAAGTGGTAACTGTAGAAGCTGGTGAATGGAATCTTGTATTCAAGTTGCATGATATTCTCTACTTGTTCTCTACTTTTGCGTAAGATTTTAAGTACACTGTCTAGGTTTAAAGACCCCTGGGCTCCCTGAAGCTGTGTACTAGATGAGAATGAACAGGGAGCCAGGAATTAATTTCCCTGGATAGTCAATGCATTGAAATTAAGTGGTAGTATCGTTGGTGTGACTTTTTCTTTCTTACCAACAGGATTTAGGGCCTTGGAGGATTTGAGAAAAAGGAGTACTTTTTTTTTTTTGGCGGTACACAGGCCTCTCACTGTTGTGGCCTCTCCCGCCGCGGAGCACAGGCCCTGGACGCGCAGGCTCAGCGGCCATGGCCCACGGGCCCAGCCGCTCCGCGGCACGTGGGATCCTCCCAGACCGGGGCACGAACCCCTGTCCCCTGCATCAGCAGGCGGACTCTCAACCACTGCGCCACCAGGGAAGCCCAAAGGAGTACTTCTTATATGCCTATAATCTAGCCACATAGGTTAACTAGCTGTCTGAATGAATCCATTATATACATTTGTATCTGAATTCTCAGAGGACCCAGACCACTAGCTGGGAAAGGAAATAAACTTCTCTTTCTGGGATCCGGACTCCTGGCTTAAAAGCAGTGGCATAGCCTTATGCTTTCAACAACATCCCTTTGGCCTCCTGTTTTAAGAATACATATATGAAAGCTACTTGTTTTGTGGAGAACCAGAGCACAGGTGGAATGGTTCATAAATAATGCTGTTGACAGTATAGTTAGGCATGTGACACATTTTGGTAGCTTTCAGGAAATAGGATCATTTAACAGATACTTGAATTAATAATGAATGCCCTGGGAGTTCTTGCTCTCTAGAAGCATTTTATAGTTAGGGAGGTCAAGACATATTTATATGCAGTGTTAAATACCATAGGTTAAAAGGTATCATGTTAAAAAAAAAAAAAAAAAAGGTATCATGTTGAATGATACGGACAGACTTGCGGATTGGAGAGAAAAGCACAGTAAGCTACAGTGGTACGGGAAAGGTTCAAAAAGGAAGTAGGAATTGAGTTTAACAGATATTTTTGAGTGCCTACCATATATATTGCATCATGCTAGAGACTGCATATGTATTGTAGAAAGAGCATTCTCTTTTATGCCATCTCTGTACAGTGTATATACGCCTTCGGTGTTGCTGTGTTTATTTATTGCACGTCTTCATTGCCTTTGTATCCTCAATACTCTGTACACGATAGGCACTCACTAAATGTTTGTTGAATGCATGATGAACAAGATATGGTCCTTATATATAATCTAGTAGGATAAATACACAAGTTATTTTTCCTACAAAATAGAGGAAGAAGTACAGAGTTTTCTGGGTACTTGAAAGGTAGGAGTAATCACATACCTTAAATGATCAGGACAGGATTTACAGATGAGGTCATGTTTAACATTGTCCTTGAAGAGACTATGAGTAAGGTTGTTTTAGTAGTGGGAACAAAATCTACAGCGTGGGATAAATTTTTGAGTGGTTTGCTTTATCAAGACAAGGGAAATCTATTAGGCTGTTACATTGGTTTCAGCCAAGAAGTACAAATCTTCACAATTTTATGGAATCTATCTCAAGATATTTGCTACTTTTCAAGTTCAAGAACACAGCTATAACATACTCTTTTCCCCCAGAAAACACCTATTTATAGGTGAAAACCATTATTACTTCATTAGACTATCTCATTTTATCTTACCTTTAGGACCACCTGTTGATTTTCTTTCCATAAGCATGTTTCATCCCCCCACCCGACCCTCACTCCCCAAAAGCTAATAGTTATTCAGTATTTTCTATGTGTCGGGTGCTATGTTAAGTACTTGATATAAATATAAACCCATTTAATCTTCACAACAACCTGATTAAAGGTTAAGGGACTTGCCTAGGGAGTAAGTAGTAGAGCCAGGATTGCCTTACTTTGTAAGTTTTACTATGAGTAAATATGAGTTGAGAACAGCAGTTCCTTTGAAACCTGGATGCTACATATTACTTACTGAATGTCATGACCCTAGAAAGCAGTTTGCACACAGTAGAAACTGCATATGTTAAATCCACAGATTCCAAGAGTCTGCTGACTAAGGCATTATGATAGGATTTATTGTGTTATTTATCTAGTACCTACCATGAGTGAAGAATTATTCCAGGATTGAAGAGTATGGCAAATAACAATGTTCCTGCTTTCATGGAGCTTATATTTTAATGAAGGAAGACAGAGAATAAGCATGCAAATAAATTTATTTACTTAGTAAATAAATAATATGATTCTGATAATAAGTACTATAAAAAATTGTCAGGTTAATGGATGAGTGGATGGGATCAATAGTTTTCGAGCAGACAAAGAGGCTGTCTCTGAGGCAGTAGTATTTGAATAGAAACCAGTCTGTTGAGAAGTGGAAGCCCTTGGAAAGATCTGGGGAAGAGCTTTTCAGGTACAAACAGCAGCAAATGCAAATGGTCTTACTCATGAGAATGTAAGAATGAACTTCATGTGTTAAAGGATGAATGAGAGCGCCAGTATAATGAACAAAGAAAGTGAAAGGTTAATGGGTAGCAGGTGTCAGGTCATGGAGTCTTGTAAAGATTTGGTAAAGCATTTGGATTTATTCTAAGTTTAATGGGAAGGATTTTAAGATACAGTTTCATTTTTAAAAGATCACCTTGCTGTGTAGAAAATGGACTGAGTGGAGGAGGGACAAGTGACAAGAAAAAGAGAAAGACAATTAGTGCAGTAGTCCAGGCAGGAAAGTAGGGTGGCTTTGGACTAGTGCTAGAGGTGTTGAGAAATGGTTAGATTTGGGATATTTTGGACATAGAGCTAATATGAGTTGGGGATGTGGGATATGAAAGAAAGAGAGGGATCAAGGATGATCTCTAAGGTTAGAGACCTGCATTACTTTGTGAAAGGGTGCTGCTAATGTATCATGCAAACTTAGGTTGAGGAGGAGGAGTGCAAAGTATATGTAGGAGATTCACACAGCTGTTCCACAGATGGAGTGCCACCTGCTGTAAAGATCCAGCCAGATGTTTGGGACTCCCGGCTGGTTCTAACACAGCAGCAACTTCTCATAGTTGAGGATTTTGAAGCCAGGTTAGCTCCATCCATGCTTGTCTCATACATCCTTACTATCCAGAAGGTAAGCCCACTCTTCCTCCAGGCATATTACTTGTCCTCATTTTCATATATCTTGCAGTTTTCTCAGACCAAACTGGTGTGACATCTTTATTCCCCTGACTCCTCATCACCACCACCAAATGCCTGGCTAGGTCTCTTTCATTATTCAGTTCATGTACAGTATTGTCTAGGAAACATGTTCTGATCCCAGATTCATTCTGCTTTCATGTCTGAGCGTTGCCCCACATATACACCAAGTACAGTGTACATGTACTGCATGTAAACACCTTGATCATAGCAGTTTGTTTTTTGGGTTTGTTTTGTTTTCTTTTCTTTTTTAAATAGTCTTGTTTATCTCTGTAGAACAAGAGGAGGGAAAGTATTCTAGGTTGGGAGAAGGATATGAGTAAAGACACCGGGGCATATTTTGGGGAGGGGACTAGGGAAATTACAAAGAAGATTGTAAGTCGAGTATGTGGTATCTAAAAAGAGTTTGTATCGGGGTGAGTAAAGTATTAAAATTGATTAGAAGAGTATTATGTCAGTTATATCTCAATAAAGCTGGGAAAAATAAAGATTAGAAGAATCTTTTGGGTCTTGACAGAGCATTTTAAAGACTACACTGTGATTGGATTTAATTTTAGAACAGTGATTCTCAACCCTGACTGCCCTTCTAGAAACACCTAAAGAGTTTAAAAAATCCCACTGCCCATGAATTTCCCAGACCCAGACTAAGTCACAGTTTCTGGGTGTGGGACCCAGATATTAAAGTTTCCCACGTGATGTGAAGGTTAGCAACTACTTCAAGAAGCGGAAAGTGTGATTGGTTGAAAAAAGGTATTGAAATTAGAGTCAAGAAATTGGATCATGGTTTTTTTTGTTTGTTTGTTTTTGTGTGTGTGTGGTTTTTTGCTTTGTATTTTTTGTTTTTTGGGTTTTTTAGTTCAGGATCTTAGTTCCCTGACCAGGGATCAATCCCATGCCCCCTGCAGTGGAAGCGCAGAGTCTTAACCACTGGACCACCAGGGAAGTCCCTGGATCATGGTTTTTATTCTTCATTTTTTGTGATCTTGGGCAAATCGCTTAATGCCTGATGTTAGTTCATCTATAATTAAGTTGAAATGATCTTCATCTGTAACTTGGTTGGATACTCTCTGGAGACTTTTCTGTCTCTAAAATACTTTGATTTTAATGAAGGAAATTGTATAATGAAATAGTGTTACAGGGAAGATTAACCAGCTAGGTTCAGGACAAGTTGGAGGTAAGAAGACAGGGGGACAGGTTGGAGGTAAGAAAATGGTTGCCCTTTATGTGTGGGCAAGACAGTGAGTTTAGGGAAGGTAGTTGCTTTGGGAATGGAATGGGGGATACTTTAAGCCCTCTTGCATCAGTTAAAAATTGTCTCCCTTCTCCTTAAAAATTTCAGGAGACTTCATTTAAGTATGAGTATTCAAGGATTTGGTTGCTGGTATTTTTTTTCTTATAGCTTGTATTATTATTAATATTGTTAATCTTTAGCAAAAGATTGAATAAAGCATGGCATATCATGCCATAACTATTTAAGGAATGTGCTGTTAATCAGTTTGTGCAATGGAAGTAATTCGTGGAAACATTTTTTAGGTCATTCTTTTGGATTTCTGAAAAATGATCAATAAAGAATTCAATTCATTCTTTGTTTAGCACCCTGCCAAATAGGAATCTACTTAGAATATGTTCATGTATTCCTTCTAATATGGTATTATCCTTTACTATCACTTTGTCAAATAGAAAGGAAACTTTGCTTCAAAACTGTAACCTTTTAAACTGCCTTATAACTGTTTTTTTTGATCATTCTTTTATTCCTTGTCTGTAAAAAGGGGATAAATACCTTCTCTATAATATTTTATAAGGAGATGAAGTAGCATAGTGCTTCACATATTTCTTAGGTGCTTGATAAAATTTAATTCTACTGCCCTTCCAGTGCACAAGCTCAGGTATACATATTTATGTTTTTCTACTTGTAGTTATTTTGTGTCATTTTTTTTAAGCTAATTTTTTTATTCCCCCTCTTCCCCCTTTCAGCTTACATGTCTTCTTCTTGGTATAACATTTTAGATAATTTTCTATCATGTTTCTAATTATACTAGTAAAAATAAAATTTTCCCTCCCTTGACCGTACCCAGTTGTAATAGTTTGACTCAAGCAACTCAAATTTAATGACCATGTATTTTTGTTTCCTAGAAATAAATCTTTCTCTGTTCCTACTCAGTGGTAGTAATTCTATATGTTTTAAAGGAATTCAGTTTTTAAATTAAATTTAAAATAACTCAATTATGAAGTATTCAAGGATTGATGATCCAGTTCGAAATTGATGCATTCCTCTCTTCTCTTTTGATTTTTTTTTTTCCTACCCACCAGGTTTAATAAAATGCAACTCAGAGCTTTTGAACTTACTAGCTGTTTTTATGAAATCAAGTGTTTTTTAAAGGAAAAATAAAAGTAAATGCTAATCTTTGAGTTCTTTATTTCATATTGTCTTCCTCTACTCTCCTTACTGTAAATTAAGTGTGCCAATCCTTAATTGACTAAATATATTACCTTACGCATTGTTTCCTTCTCCAAAATTTTTTTTGCTGATGTTCAGATGATCTCCAGTCTCTAAAATATTTCCGAAGTTATGTATTTTCATAATACAGCATAGAATAATAAGTATATGAAGGGTTGAAGTAAACAAATCTCATGAGTCTTTAGAAGGGCTTATTGAAGAGCCAAAGGGCGCAATTTTTGGAACATGTATGTTTCTAATGTTGAAGGTGTAGAGAGTGAATGGGAAGGCAAAGTAAATGTGGAGGAAAAGAAAACTTGACAGGTATAGAGAAGAGGAGAAAGAAAATGGAGGGAAGAGATAAGAGATGTTGGTTTAGAAAAAGTTTGAAGTAAACATATTCAGAAAAAGAAAGCAAGAGAAAAAAAAATAGATAAAAGGTGTTACAAGTCAGTAGGTACTCACAAGGGTGCTCATTTAGTGTTTTATTGGGCTCCCATAGGGCTGCCATTAAGAACACTAGGAGTCTTGGTTCTTTGTGTCACCTTGGAGAAGTCAGTTAACTTATCTGAGGCTCAGGCATCTGTAAAATGTGAACATTGGATTAGGTTTCTTGGTTGTCAGTAACTGTGAGAAACATTCCTATGGGAAATTTGCAGCTATAGCTGACTTTAGAACAGCATATTTAGGGAAAAGGATGTAAGCTCCCTGAGGGTAGGAGCTTTTTCTATCTTACTCACTGTTGTATCCCCAGCAGCTAACACAGTGCTTGATGCATGGTAGGCACACAATAAATGTTTGTTGAGTAAGTGATGTGAAAAGTGTCATGTTGGTGGTTCATTACGGGAGCATCTAGAGGGCCTAGAGGAAAACTAGTGTGCTTGAGAAAAGGAAAAGACTGGTGTCTTCTGAAGAAATCTTACATAGGCTGGTTTTTAATCTCTTGTTCTTCCTTATCTTGTCCCAAATTCAGAGAAGGTGGCTGTAGCTAGCGCTATACTCGTGGTCACAAAACTTGTAGTGACCAGACATACATATAATGACTAAACCAACATATGATCTAGATCAGTTCCCTTTGTGTGACTTAAAGAAATGCAGAACCAAGCTCAGGTCTTCATGGTATATGAGTACACATAGAATATAACAGCTATATTGAGTTGGATTTATTGGCTTTGTTCAGTTGAGAAGCAGTTAGGCTGCAAGCTGAGTACTGAAGCTGGCAGATTCCAGTGAAATCTTTGTGATTCACTGGTATCCCTAGGTTACAAAGCGTTACTGTTACAAACAGGTTACTGTTATGCAAAAAGATAAATTTGCAGAGATATTTGAAGGAAAATATTCAGAACATAATATATATATTCCAATTTTTGGAAGTCATAGTTTCAGAATATTCAGGTCTTTGAAATTCTTGGACCTAAAACTAGACCAAAAAGTAGGGAGGGAGTAACTTTAAATCCCTATCGCTAAAAGTCCTCTACTTATTCACTAACTCTCATTCTATCTTACCACTTTTATTTAACCTCCAGTTCAGAATGTTTGGTTGACTGATGTGCCATTCCACAACAGACTAGTAACAGAAGGCACCAAAATGTGTGAGTAAGGAAGATGGAGGCAAGGAGGCATATTGACATCCATAGGCAGGTGTGATGACAAAATAAGTGATAGCTGAACAAACTTGCTTTGAGGGATAAAAAACATCCAGAACATTAAATATCCACAATAATTATTCTGAATCATTAACAAAATAATAATTTATATTTCATATTAACACAAGGCAGGAAACAATAAGTTTATCCCAGATGGTTAATTTTTCTTTTTAATGTTTTGTTTCTGAATGGTAAACTCCTCAGTAGGTTTTGAAAAATACACATATTGGAACACATCCATTCCCACATCTGGCCCCAGAAATACTAGACAAATAAAGGTCATTCATTGTCCTTTGAAATCTTTTAAAATGTTATATATTCTTGTCTCTTATAGCTATATCAGGTTGAGTTTTTAACAGTTGCTGACATTTTATGTTGGGTTTGTAAAAAATTGTAATGTTGAGAAGTATGTATGTGTAAATAGTAATAAAGAGACTTTTTCTTAAATGCATTTGAAAAGGATCATATAAAAATTAAAGCTCCTTCAGCAAAGTGGGGATTAAATGTCTGCGTACCTCAGTTATGATTTAAAACATAAAAACACACAAGATTGCAAATTTCTTAAAGGCATATTTGTACAAAATGTTTTTATTCTGAAACATAAGTCATCTAATTTGTTATAGTCATTGGTAGACAGTTTATTGTAAAATAGAAATATGCAAAGAAGATAGAAATATGAAAGCAAAGAAGAAATATGAAAGATAGAATAATGGAAGCAATATGAAAATTCATAATATTAAATTTCAGACATACATTTTTGTTAAAATCAGAGTCCATTTGGAGTGAAATGAATATTTCCATTTAAAATTTTCATATTATATTAATGTTAGGTCAGTTTTTAATGTTTTAAATTACCAACTCCAGAAGATGGATAACAATTTCATTCCTGATGGCAATGAATTTCCTTCTTCTGAATTTTTTTAATAGGTGCACTAGGCCTTCCAATGAGGGGGATGAGCAACAATACCCCTCAGTTAAATCGCAGCTTATCACAAGGCACTCAGTTACCGAGCCACGTCACGCCAACAACAGGGGTACCAACAATGTCACTTCACACGCCTCCATCTCCAAGCAGGTATTTATTGATGGACCAGAATTTTTCTCAAAATGTATCTTTGTAGATTAAGCAAGCTTTTTAGTTTTTTAATAAGGTAACTAATTATTTGATTTTCTGGTTCAGTGCCTTTCACTGAGGAAAAGAAAGTTGATACCCTATGCTCATTTTATTTCATTGCAAATTGATAAGTATAGTGTAAGATGCTTTTATCTTGCAGCTAGGGTATTGGTTATTAGCTGGGATGGGTATCAAGGATTAATCACCACCTGGGGGGCTTTTTTCAAAAGCATGCTCTCCTCCTCAAAGGAGGACGTGCAATTTCAGATCACTCCTCAGATAATTCTGTTTATTGCTCCCTCACCACACATCCATTGCTCTAGTGAGAATAAAATAAAACAGATTTACAAAAATGGTGCATATTAGTTTGAAGAAGCTAGAATGACATACATTTGGAATGAAATTATTCTGAATATATATGTGAAATAACATTTGTATTTTATGTCATAGTCACACCAATAGTTCTCTCATCTTCAATATCACCATATATTCTTCTGTGATTTGCCCTTTCTTGTTGGTTTGTTTACTTTGGCTTTTCAAAGAGCTTTTTTTCTTTTCAAATGACCAGACAAAAGAGTTAAATGAATAAAAATTAGCAATGCAATTTGAAAGTATATTTGAGATTCTAGGATTAGGCCAATTGATTATTTACAGAGAATTTTAATGAGTGATTGTAGAGAGCTTATTTAGTATAATGGACTTCTTTTTCAGGGGTATTTTGCCTATGAATCCTAGGAATATGATGAACCACTCCCAGGTTGGTCAGGGCATTGGAATTCCTAGCAGGACAAATAGCATGAGCAGTTCAGGGTTAGGTAGCCCCAACAGAAGCTCGCCAAGCATAATATGTATGCCAAAGCAGCAGCCTTCTCGACAGCCTTTTACTGTGAACAGGTAAGATATTTATTGATACTGTGTATAATTGTTCTTTCTGGGTATTTTCAAATTTGCCTTTTCATATTCAACATTCTGTTCTTGAGTCTTGGCTTCTGTTTCATAAGTGTGTTTCATCATATATTTTGACCAAAGCTTCTCTTTCTGTTACATATCACAACTTTAACCTCCCAAACTAAAGACATGTTCTTTTGAAAATCAGTTTGCTTTTTTGTTACTGTTGTTAGAAAAGGATTGTTCTTAGGTTGCCAACTGGCAAATTTTTGTTGATATGTCCTTCCTCTATTAAATGAGGCTGGTCACCTGTGTGGTAAGAGCTTCATACCTATGAATAGGACTGGAGACATATTTGACTATTACTGCCTTGCTTCATTTATGCTTTGGTTAAGTTGCTTTTCAACTGAATTTCAGTTTTGTTCTTTGGAGACTTAATAACAGAGACTTTTTGAAGACTACATCTGTAGTATTTGAAAATAGTGTCATGTCCTGCGATTTAAAAAGATGAATTTGCGCTTTTCACTCCTTTTTGCACTGGTCATTGCATATACTGCTATGCAAATAATAGTTAACAATATGAAAAACAGTTACCCATTTTGTTAGGATTTTAAAGCTATTCAGGTAATTTATATGAGAGTTATGTCTACAGTAGGGCTTTCTTTACTGTAAAAAAAACAGCATTTTAGTTTGATTGTTCATTTTTTTTTAATGGGGAATATGGGGAGAAAGGATGTTGCTATCATCAGAGCCATTTAATTCACTTTCTTTTATCTAATACTCGTAAATTCTGAATTAAAATAGGTTATTAGCACATTTCCTTTTTAATCTTCATCCCATAACCTCCAATTCTTACTTTTATTTAGACTTATGATTACTTCTTTTATAATTTGACTGCTCTTTTAATTTTTACAGAAGTTATTTTTGTAAAGGGTTATCAAAATTCTCATCTCCTTGACGTTTCCTAATGATATAATACTTCTTGGGCTTTAACACATCTTTCTGCATTCTTGTAGTATCGTTCATTGAATGTATGTTTAAATTTTTTGCCTTTCCATATTTTTTCACATTCTAGTTTTTAAAAAATACTTTGCTTATAAATTGTCAATGAAGTATGGGTCTCTAAAGCCCTGCTTATTATTATTGATAAGTTGTATGTATTATGGAATGTTTTCATCTCTTACTACTTACTCAGTGTTTGAGGATACCTATATCATCAGCAGTTCTAACATGCTATTAAACAGAAGTTTCTGTTGACTTTTCTGCTCTTCTCTAGAGTGTTTCACCAACTGCATTATTTTATGAAAATATTGTTTGGCCATAGTTAGTTTTATAAATCTAGGCAAAAAATTAAAAACCCAGTCATCTTCAAATAGTTTAACCTTACTCATAACAGTAATACACTGTCTTTTATCAGATTATTTGATGTGAAAGTTGCATACTTTCATTTTAGAATTTGCATTAACGATTCTTGTTGACATGCTTAATTACTCTGGCCTTGCTTTAAATTCAGCCTTATTTTTTGTTTGTTTGTTTTCCCATGTTTAGGCTTGTGCAAAAAAGGGAAGCTGTGGTAACTATTTACCAAGTACCTTACTTTAGAATTAAGAGCACTATGGAGAGATTTTTATTTTTAAGTAGCTAAAAGATAAACTAGATGATGTGTTTTAGAACACTGAATTCAGTTAAAGAAAAGCACCATTTAATTCACGTCAGCTGAACATTTACTGAGTGCCTTTTGTAGCCTCCTGAATGCTAAGGGCAGGAGATGCAAAGAAGTATATGACATGAACCCTGTCCATGAGGAGTTTATGTTCTAGTTGGGAAAGACAGACTGTATGAAAGATCTTTTATGAAAAGTAATAATAGCACATTTTACCAGTAGTGGAAGAAAAACAAGTATTCAGGAACAGTAGTCTTAAAATAAATTGCCTATTTTTGAGGTTTATTACTTCTTCCATTATATCCAGTAAGTTGGCTCTCCAAGTATACAAAACTACACCCTTAATCTCTATTTTCCTCAAGGCCTATATAAATTCTTTGCTTTTTGTTTTTTAATTCATCTGTTTAAGATGTTTTGGTTCTCAGTTGTTCATGAAAGGACTTTAGGGAAGCTTTAAGTAACAATAAAGATTCAACTCAAAAAAAAATTTGTTTTTAAACATGTTGTTTTATATGAGGAGATCAAAAGTAAACACTTTTGTTTTTCTTCATCTGAAAGTTAGTGTTCTTACTGTATATCTAAAATTATTTTCTATGTACCCAGTATGTCTGGATTTGGAATGAACAGGAATCAGGCATTTGGAATGAATAACTCCTTATCAAGTAACATTTTTAATGGAACAGGTAAGCTTATTCTGGAGCCAGTACCCTATAAAAATACGATAGATCTTGAAATATAAAGCAATTCAACATACTAGTCAAAATATTAAAGGAATTTTTGTGTTAAGATGATAGAACTTAATATAGGGAGAATTTGACAGGAAATAGGATTTAATTCAGTGAACAGTTGAAAGATAGTTAAATATATTTTTTTCACTTGGCATGTTAATAGCACAGTGTTATAACATCAGATTTATTTCCTTAACATCTGGAGAAAGTGTAAACATTTACTTAGTCTGTACTTGTGCCTCAGAATCTTTTTTGCTTCAAGAGCTTTTCCTATCTCAGTCCTGTCACTACAGTCTAAACTAGGTTGAGTGGTATGGCATTCTGGCTATAGAGACCCAGATTGAAGAAACCTTTAAAATTATATGGAGCGCTTACAATTTTTTCTTAATAGTTTTAATAATACTAATTTTGGCATTTAACTCTTACAAATTTTTAATCCAGTTTTATGTGTAAAATTCAGAATTTAATTACATGGAAAACCAATTCTGATTTTGACAGTAAAGAATTCTTGCAGTCTGTTGGTTTATTTCTTTTATCAGCTGCTTCAGACAGAAGAGAACAGGAGGCTTTGTTGCTATTCTGCTTCAGGTTTCACCTTCTTCCACCCTTGCCTCCAAACCCTTTCCTGAGAAAGGAAATAAAGGATGTTTTATGGTCATAGGAGCAAAAATGAATATGATTGTTGAGAGAGAAATACGCGTGAAGGAAGTGGAAGGTGAAAGAATGATCAATGAAATGGGGCGTACGTGAAAGCACGAGAAGATTTAGTAATTGAAATGACATTTCTGGCTATCGGCTTTTAATTTTTCAGTGTTATTGTATGTATAGTAGCATAGATTGACCAAGTGAGACTTTAAAATGTCAAATTTTAGCATTTAAAGTTTTGCGTTCTAATGGAAAATACCCTATTTCATTGTTCCTCAAATGCAGATTTTTTTCATATTTTAATATCTCTGAAATTAGGCTGCATATCATAGTTTAATTAGCAAGGTTTTTTCCCCCTAAATGAACCATAAAGTAACAGTGTGTCTCACAGTGCCATCTTATATTCTGAATTATGGTTTATACACTTCTGTAAATTTTAGAATTATTTTTAAGTCATTTTTAACTAAGTATATTTTACACTAGGAAAATTGTTTCCAAGTCTTACCCTAAAAATAAAAATTTGTGAGTTAATACTATTTTTAGGTTAAAATTATTCTCAAATAACATATGGTAGTTTTAAACTCCATCTTAGAGGACCTGAAGAAGTGTATTAAAAGTTAATACTTATTGAAAGTTTTTAGTTAATTTGTAATCAAGTAATTCAAGAGATTGCTTTTTAAATTAAAGCACTATATAAATTGTTAATGTCTATTGTTGCCCTTTTATATAGTAATATCTTTTTAAAATTCAGAATTCATGAACTGCAATTTCTTTAAAAACAATGGGTATGAATGATTTTATCTTTTACCCTTCATAAATTTTAAATTGTCACCTGACTTGGAATGTAACTGTTTCCTATCAACAAAGTAATCTTGAGTTAATAGTTTCTTTCTGAGATTCTTCTAATTATGAAACTTAGAGAAAAATTAAAATTAACTGGAAAAGGGGGCAAAATAAATTGAAAATGGTTATAATAAACTAGATGAAACAGATTAAAGAAAAAGTATAGTGCAGGGTAATGCTAAGCTAGAAAATAAGTTCTTCAAAAATTAAGAGTATAAGATTGTAAGAATAATAGAATAATAAATGTTGAGAAGAGATCAAGGTGACGATTAAAATAGGCAAAGTAGAAATGTTGGGTTAAATTTATTTTTTAAAAGGAAAGAAACTGATTTTTTTTAATTCAAAATGAACAAAAATAAATTTTATTCATTCCTTATATATTTATTGAGCGCCTACTGTGTAATAGGTAATATAAACTTCTGGGCTTTGTATCATATTCTCATACAATTCACTCACTAGACATGGGAACCCTACACTGACCTACGTTCTCCACCCTACTTTATACCCTCAGCTGCAAAACACACGTGCACATGCACACGCGCACACACATTTCACACACTCACGTGCATACACCTTTGTGTATGGGACTAATAGGCCACAGGAAAAAAGAAGTCCTTAGGGCTTCTGCTTCCATTGCCTATGCCTCAAATATGATTCAGGCTATCTGCAGGAGGCAGTGTCATTATCACACCTATGTTATAAATGAAGCTCCAAGCATTCCAGATACAACCTCTGCTTTTGGATACAATGAAAGAGTAGTTTTATCGCAACAGTCTCCCCTCTTGCTAACTAACAACGTATAACTTGAGTACCATCTTTCACAGGGGAAATAGTGTATCACCTTACTCCTTATTCTCTGTTAAGTCTCTAGGATTTGGGATTTTTATTATGCTAGTAAGTACATATTGCTTTGCTGAATTGTTCATAAAATTCTTTCACATGAAGTCAATCCACAAATATTTATTGTACATTTACATATGCCAAGTACAGTGCTGTACATTGTTTAGGAAGAAGGCACTGTTATTTCAAACTTTATTATAGTTCGTCTTTAATAACCTCTTTAAAATGTTTGTAGAATCAGTAACTAGTGTTTTTTCTTATTATTTAGATGGAAGTGAAAATGTGACAGGATTGGACCTTTCAGATTTTCCAGCATTAGCAGACCGAAATAGAAGGGAAGGAAGTGGTAACCCAACTCCATTAATAAACCCCTTGGCTGGAAGAGCTCCTTATGGTAATTAATTAAGCTTTTAAATTATGGCCAGTGAAAACTTTCTGTTGCACGCACGTACACATATATATATGTACGTATATGCATGTGTGTGTACACACATGTATTTATGTGTTTTCTAATCAGAGTAGTGTTATTTTGTCAGAGTTGATAAATGCAAAGTGCTTTTTTCTCCCAGAATACCATGATAGCAAAGTTAAATGGGAAAACTTAATTTGTATAGAAATCCCAAAAGGAAGTCTTCATTGGTATTCAGAAGTTATTTTCTTCTGGCATTTCTGCCTTAATTCACCTTAATAATGATTCTATGGTCTGTCTCTTCTCAATTCATCACACATTTTTTAAAAGAATACATTCCCACATTCCTAGTGATTAATAATGACTAACCATACATTAACAATTTTTTCTAAGCCAGTTTCTCAATCTCCACACTACTGACATTTGAGTAGGTAGTTTCTTGTAAATGAGGGGCTGTCCTGTGCATTGTAGAATATTTAGCAACATCCCTGGCCTCTGCCTACTTGCTGCCAGTAGCACCACCCACCCACCCCCGCATTGTGACAACCACAGATCTCTCCAGATTTTGACAAATGTCTCATGGGGAAAAAAATTACCTCCTGTTGAGAACTGCCGTGGGTCATGTATAGTTTATGTAGGCTCTTGGTCACCATTAATACCCTTTTTCACTGTCTTTAATAAATAAGAGATTGGCTAATAGATGCTGAATGAACTAGACATGAAAATTATATAACAGGAATATAACCATATTCTTTTTATCCTTTGCACATACTTGTTTGCTTTTGGTAGAATCTGATACAGACCAGTAGCAGAAACAATGAACTTAGAGGGATCATTTCATCACTTTTCTAAGATAACTATTTTTCCCATTTTCAACCAAGAGGGATTTCTGTGGCTTTCAAAATATGAAGACAAATAACAACATGTGAAGAAGGGAAAAATTTATTATTATACACATTAAGTTTCCTAATTAGCCTTCCCCCCCCAGAAAAAAACAAAAATGATCTGCCCTGGAAGTTGAGTACCTAGCTACTTGATTCTCAGTTCAGACTCTAATGTTTTTAACCTTTCCTCATAGGTCCATTTTTTCATCCCTTTAATCATTCCCGTTGCTCTCCTTGGACCACCTCTAGTTTCTCCATATCGTTCTTGAATTGTGGAGCCCCAAACTGGATATTGTTCTCCAATAAGGGCCTGACTAATGCCAAGTATAGTGGGAGGATTACTTACCAGTTCTTGCATGTTTTACATCTATTACATGGAGTCCAAGAAAATCTGAAATAATATGGAGTTGTTTTATAATTGATTGCAATTTGCTCACCCTGTAAGTCACTTTCAAGTAGAATACTGACATGTTCTTTAAATTTTATTTTGTTCATTTGTATTTGACAATTAACTGGTATTTATAATAACTAGTCAAATATTTAAAGCAAGTTTTTAAACCAAAAATTTTCATAATTACTACCAATATCAAACTATGTTTTTTCAGCATCTGTATATGACATTAGATTAGAATTATAAGATTACCACTTATTTCCCTTGTATTATTTTGTATATTTAGCTATTAATCAGTATATAAGAATTTAGTTATTCATTGTTACCCAGAACACCAATTTTTTGAAGTTTGCATTCATAGCGTAATTTAAAAATCCTTTTGGTATATTATTGTGAGAAAAGTTAACTTTTTATAATTTGTAGCAAAATATCATAAATATCAATTGCAATTCTCTGGATTATTTTCATTACATAGTTGGAATGGTAACAAAACCAGCAAATGAGCAATCCCAGGACTTCTCAATACACAACGAAGATTTTCCCGCGTTACCTGGTTCCAGTTATAAAGATCCAACATCAAGTAATGATGACAGTAAATCTGTAAGTAACTGAGAATTATGTATGTGAATTATATAGTTTTTTCCCTTCAGATTTCTGTTATATTAACAGTTTTGTACACTATATTAAGGACTTATTAAGTACTATTATGAAATTGTTTATCTTGAATATCTGTAATAACCTAACTTCTGAAGATGTGGAAAACCTTTATAACTTAGAAGATAGCCTATTTTTTTCCCTATTTCATATAGGTTTGCAAATTTCTGTTGAACTTCTCAGAGTTAATTTAGACTTTTATTGTAGTCCCTGTCAGCTGGATCCCATGAAGTTTGATATTATAGCCTTCTAAGGAGCTGTGTTTTTCTTGAGTAAGTTTTCTCCTTGAAGAATCTTTATACACATTTTTATTCCTGTGTTGATTCAGCCAACCCAGCTTCCTCTTTCTGACTTAACGAGTGTGTTTATTTCTTCCACATTTCACTGAAAATAGCTTTTTGTGTGTGTGATGGGAGTGTATATTGTTAAAATAATTGATAAAAGAAGATTATTGGGTAAGAATTAAAATAAATATGAATTTTAAAAGTTCATAATTAAAATTTAAAAAATAAAAAGTTCATATTTTCTAACTTATCTTGGAGGTTTTTATGGTGATATTTTAGGTAATGTACTATATTTAGTTTGTCTTCTAAATATACTTCTAAAATATACTTCTAAAAATACTAATAAAGTATTGAGGAGTGTAACTCAAGAGTATCCCAAAATGAAAAGTTCTGACATAGAGAGGCTTTTTTTGTCTGTGACTGAAGATCTGAGATAAATAAGAATATTTTCCATATATTTCTTGTCCTTTAAGTACTCAAATATGTACAATACAGGATTTATTTGTATACCATGGCACAGTTGTGGAAACAAAAAATTTCATGTAGAACTTGAAAAACAGGTAATAATTTACTACCAACTTAAATATAATAAAAAATGAATAGAAAAGTACTAGTATATGAACTTGAAATTTTTACACATAACAAATTTTAATGTCACATTTAATTTTTTTCATGTTAGAATTTGAATACATCTGGCAAGACAACTTCAAGTACAGATGGACCCAAATTCCCTGGAGATAAAAGTTCAACAACACAAAATAATAACCAGCAGAAAAAAGGGATCCAGGTGTTACCTGATGGTGGGACTCTATAAAATATATCAAAGATATTATAGAATTCACTTTTTTTACTTCTTCCTCAAAGATAAAAATGACTGTGTTTTTCTTATCCAGGTCGGGTTACTAACATTCCCCAAGGGATGGTGACAGACCAGTTTGGAATGATTGGCCTGTTAACATTTATCAGGGCAGCAGAGACAGACCCAGGAATGGTACATCTTGCATTAGGAAGTGACTTAACAACATTAGGCCTCAATCTGAACTCTCCTGAGTAAGTTTCTTTCTTTTCTCCCTACATTTGTGTATAGTACCTCCCTGCAGTTTTTAATTTCATGTCTGCAAATTATATCACCTGCTGCCACTCATTGTTGCTGGTATTTGCTGACTCTTTGGGTCATTCCCTCTTATATTAGTTCCTGGATCACTCTCACTTTATAGTAATATTCCTCTTATAATTTAGCAGTTTCAGTATACACATATATGGTCTTTCCTAAATCCTGAAATCCCAGCTTCTTGAATTTCTCTCCAAAAATCGTACCCTTCATCATACCTCAGCTGCTCACTTCTTTAGTCATCCCTTTGACTTCGTCATTTTTGGTAACCTCAGTTTCTCTGTAAGATTGTGCTGCCATGCCACTTCCTGTTTTCCATTTCTCTCCCTCTTCTACGGACTCCTGTAATAATTAGATTCCATTGGGACCTTCATCCCACTGATTCTTGTACCTTTTTACTGTTCCTCAACATCCCTGTCTCTCTTCCCCTTAGATGAATTCACTTCTTCTCCGGTTAAATTCTATGGTCAGTCATGATTGCTTGTTTACATATACCCCTGACTGCTTTGCCCCTCTCTTGCTTTGTCATACTTGCATGGCAAAAACTACAACCCTGGTTATATCTGCCTGTTCCACTCTTGACCTGTGCTACTAAGCCTGGCTAGAGAAAAATACACAACTTCACTGCCTGGTCTCACTTCAGATTCATGGCCAGGAACCTCAAGAATGAGCCCTTAATTCTGCCAGCCGTAATCAAGCTGGCATGCCTACTCCATTCATTCTTTTGTTCTCTTGTGCAACTGTTTTACACTTGCCTCTTCAAACCTCTAATACCTTTCCCCCTGTGCTTAGTGTCAGTTGGTGACCTTGCTTTTTATTTCTACTTTACTAAGAACGAAGGAAGCAATCAGAAGAGTGTCAGTGTAGTCCTGCCACGAAATCAGTCACCTACAACCATCTGCACCTACCTTACTCTTGTCTTCCACCCTGTTGCCATAGCTGATTCATGCTTTCTACCTAAAACCTTTGAAAACTCAAAGATATGGATCTAACAATTTTTTGCACTTTGTTGCATCATTTCCATCAGCATACAAATACGCTGTTACTTCTTCCATGTTAACAGATGCCTTCTCTTGATCCACCTTATTCTATAAGTTATTGCCCCCCCACACCCCAATTTCTTTATTCTCCTTTGTAGCAAAACTCCTCAGGAGAGCCATTTTTGTATCTCCTATTCAGTGCTACATTATTTCTCACTTTTTTTTTTTTTTTTTTTTTTTTTGGCTGTACTTCACAGCTTGTGGGATCTTAGTTCCCCACCAAGGATCGAACCTGAGGGCCCCGGCAGTGAGAGCACCAAGTCCTGACCACTGGACTGCCAGGGAATTCCCTGTTTCTCACTACCTTTAACTGCTTCCACCCTGGTTTGAATCACCATATTCTCTTGCTTGGATTAGTCCATTAGCCAATCAGGTGTCCCTGATTCTCCCTTTGCCGCTTATAATCTTTTGTTCATATGACAGCCAGGACAATCCTTTTTGAATAAGTTCATTCTCTGCTCAATACACAGTTAGGTTTTGCAGTTTTATTATGATTAAAAACCCAAAATCTTGATAGGCCTACTAATCTGTACGGGCATGATCTGTGTCTCTCCTCTACCTACACCTTAACAGCTTCTCCCTTTGTTCACCCTATTCCAGTTTCACTGGCCTTCTTGCTGTACGTCAGACATATCAGTCATAACTCTGCATTAGTTGCTCTAGCAGTTCCCTCTGACTACGGTAGTTTTCTACCAGATAACAGATATGGTTATCTCCCTCATATCCTTCAAATCTTTGTTCAAACGTGACCTTCTAAATGTGCCCTAACCTGACTGCCCTATTTAATTATGCAACTAATCTTCCCTCCCTACCCCACCACTAACATGGAATATTATTTATGTATTACGTAAATTGTTTTTGTGTGCCTCCCTCCCAATCCACCATCTTCAACCAGAAAGTAAGTTTCACGTTATCAGTGATCTTTGTTATGTTTGCTGATGTATAAGCATGCTAGTGCCAGGCATATAATAATAGACACTCAGTAAATGTTTGCTGAATTTGAGCTTTGGTTTTTAATAATTGCTGATATTTTTCCTCTGGCCATATAAATGGGAAAGTAATTGTACTTTAATTCATTGTATTAATGAATTTAAAGCATTCTGAGTTGAAGTAATAATTCATATACAGATATGTGTGTGTATGTATGTATTTTTAACCTTGTTTCAGTTTCCTGCTGTATAAGTCATAGTAAAACCAAGAAAAGATATTAGTAATTTAAAGATGCTCATTTTACATTTGAAGTCGTTGTTTTTCCTGATTTGCTGAAATAAAATTAGAAATCTCTTTTCCTACTTTGGACTTCAGAATGGTTTTTTTCTCCTTCATTCAGAAATCTCTACCCCAAATTTGCATCACCCTGGGCATCTTCACCTTGTCGACCTCAAGACATAGGTAGGAGAATCTATTTTTGTTCAGACCTTTAAAAAATATACTTGTAACTGAGAATCAGTTAATAAGGCTTTTTTCATTTTATTATCCAGACTTCCATGTTCCATCTGAGTACTTAACGAACATTCACATTAGGGATAAGGTGAGTGTAGTTTATTATTCTACTCAGCATGAACTTATCTATTTTCAGGTGCTGTTTTGCAGTTCAGACAGCATAATATTTTTGAAATATTTAACAGTGGTCTCAGGGGTATGCTTTTGTATGTCCATTCAGTTATATGTAATAGTTTAATTTCTATTTTTGTTTATAATCCTGTGTTTTGATGAGGTCTGGGTTATATTTTAAAAATATTTTAAAAACAATGTTAGGACCAGTAAAATCTTTCTTATAGTTATTAGTAACAGGGTACAATCATAACCACAGTTGATGGGAATAAAGTAACTTGGAAAATTTGATGAATTTCCTTCTGATATTCTCATTTTATGTTTACAGATAAAATGTTTTTAATGAAAAAATATATTTTTTAAAACTGTAATCTTTGACTTTTTTATGTAATCTTTTTCTATGTTTTCATTACCTGAATTTCTAGTTATAAAATAATATTAACAGATTAGAACTTTAATCTTTTTTTTTTTTTTTCTTTTTCCTGAGAAAGAAAATAACACCTTTGCTTTAGGGTAAAGCACTGAGAGTTCAATTTTGTTAGAATGGTATCTAGATTTTGGTTATGTGAAAGGATAGATACAGTTTGTTAAAAATGATATATTTGTGTTATACTTACGTGCATAAATATGTGTAATATAAATATATATAAATGACAGCGTTCTGCGTCTGTGCCATGCAGTTGTGTAGCCAAACGGTTGTTGATGTTGTGGACAGGCAACTAAAGAGATACACGTATTTCTCAACATGTCTTTTAATACTTGAGTAGATGGAAGACAAGAAGTACGAGATAGAGCTAGTTTTTTCTGTCTGTGGACTGTATGATTTGCTGCCACCTCCACTATAGCACTCATTTTTTGCTCCAATTATCTGAGGGTTCCAGAACCTTTTCTTATGCCAGCTTAAGAAATAATTTAGGAGAATTTGTCACATTCAAGACTGCTGCCTGAATGGGGATAATATGAATGGAGAGAAAAGTAACATTCAGAGAGTGTGTAACAACAGTTAAACATTTAGTTACAGGACTAGGTAAAGAGAAGAATGTTTTCATTTCAGTGAGCTTTTAATAAAGATTTGTCTTACTGTGAGAATTTGAGACTATTGAACTTGTGTTTGATAGTTTGGTAGGCAGTTATGTTTCTACTTTATGGAGCGACATGTAAAGCAGTCATCTTTTCATCATCCATTTAAACAAAGAACTATCCCTTTATGATTTTTGTACTTAACTGTGATTTGTTAAAAATACATGATCGATTTGTGAATCACTGTCAGATGTAGATTCAGTTACTATTTCTTTTAAGTCTTCTGTGAGGCACTCTACAGAAGGTGCATTCACATTGTCACTTAATTTCATTTACATTTTTAGTAATCCTTATAGGTATCATTGACTACATTTTATAACTGAAAGTTCAGAGACATTAAATAACTTGGATATGGTCATATTAGTCAGGAATGAAACTAAGACTTGAATGTAAGTCCTGCATTTCTGAGCAGCACAGTGTTCCACTATTGCCACGTTGAGTATTAATAAACACCTCGAGTAAAACAGTGTTAGGTCTTGCTTAGAAGTTTTTATTTAGCGTTTTTCCCCTATTAGTACCTAAAATAAATGTATCAGAAATAATTATTAAATGACTTTAGTCATTTAAATGATAAAACTTCCCTTTAGAATTATATAACTATACCTCTGTAATCATGTAATAACAGTTGTCTGCTACAAAGAGGGGTTTCTGTTTTATCTTTCCATTTTTACTTTAGTGCAATCAATTATATGTTAGGATTTTCAAGTTCATTTTACATTTCAGAATAATTTTATTTCTTTTCCAGCTGGCTGCAATAAAACTTGGTCGATACGGAGAAGACCTTCTCTTCTATCTCTATTACATGAATGGAGGAGACGTATTACAACTTTTAGCTGCAGTAGAGCTGTATGTTCAAAGTATTTTTAAAAACTTTTGTATTATAGTGGATATTGTTTATTCTAAAAACTTCTTTTTTAAAATGATGGTGGCTGTAGTTTTTGTCTTTGTTTTTAAAGTGGAACTATTTCTTCATCAAGAAATCTAAGTTTTTTATATTTAGTAAAAATTAATTTAGATTGAAACCTTATATTACCATGTCTTCATAATCACTGTATACATAAAAACAATTTCAAATTTAAATAACTGTAAATGTATAAGAAGACAGAATCAATTTGATTCATGGGTATGATGAATCTAATTTTTATAAATATGAAGTATGAGGTGTGGTTCATACCTGTGGTTCATCTTACTCCTTGTGGAACCACATATGTTAATGACAGTGAATTTCATCATTTAAGAAATATTTATTAAACATTGTATGGGCAAGGCACTGTGCATATTTCTTGTGTATTTTGAAATATTGATAAGGTCCACATTCATTATCAGAAGCCTATTGGCCAACTTAAATAAATTAAGTCTTAAGAAATTGGTCCATTGAATACATTGTTTTTCTGAGCATTTTTGTTTTTACCTAATGCTCTGAGAATAAAAACTTTGTGTCATTTTTTATATGTCCAGGTGGTAACATTTTGTTACCAATAGACTATTCTATTAATCATGTTTACTGTAGAGTGAATTGTTACTAAAAACTTACGATGTAATGATTGGGAGACCTTTTTATAGATTTAATAAGTATTTTATAATATTCCTAATAGCATTTCTATAAATGGCCTTGGATCAGATACTTTAAAATGTAAAATTCACTGTGTTGATAATAAATTGTTTTTTTATTTCTCAACTGAGAATGTTTTTTTCCATGTTTTCCCTCATTTTTTGTAAGATAGCAATTGTTACCTGTTCGTTTTAATTTATTCATAAGTAAATAAATTCATCAGTCATTCATTCATTCATCACTGGCAGTTCTGTCTCATATCTTATTTATGACTAAAAATATATAAATATATAAAATATATGTCTAAAATAAAATATATGTCTAAAATAACCCCTCGTTGTATTGATAGGGAGGTATTTGCATGGAGGTTTTTCAGCATAGTTACAAATTTTATGTGAATTTATGTAGTTAATTCAAATAGGCTTTGTATTTAGTTTCTTACAAAATAATACAAATAGTTGGGGGTTTTGTTTGTTTTAATAGGTATCTTAATTTCTATTGAATATTAAGAAGAACGAGAAAGGAGTGAAGTTTCTGGAACACAGTGATCTTTGGTCTGCCAAAGTTTTTATCACATTGCTCATAGAGCTTTTAAGATCTCGTTTTGTTTGCATAAAAAAATTCTTCAGTTAAATAAAGATGTGTGTGTTAATTAAAGAGTGTGGTTTTTGGGCAAATTAAAGTCTTTTCCTATGTTTATTTTACTAGGTTGTATTTAATAACAATAAAAATCAGGGAAAAGAAGCATCAATATTTATGTATTTTATGTGTGACTATTTTCTGAAAAAATGTTTTACAAAATGTAGAAAATGTTTGATGTGAGCCACAGGAAAAAATTAATTGTCTTTTTCTCTTAAAAATTGAAGTTTTAACCGTGATTGGAGATACCACAAAGAAGAACGAGTATGGATTACCAGGGCACCAGGCATGGAGCCAACAATGAAAACCAATACATATGAGAGGGGAACATATTACTTCTTTGACTGTCTTAACTGGAGGAAAGTAGCTAAGGTATATTTTTTTCCATGTGCAAATGTGTAACTATAAATCTAGATTTTAAAAAGAAGTGTCCTCTTTTATCTGTTTATATGTACCAGTACATCCATTTCAATAATGTGCCAGATATTTGCTGAGTCTTTTAAAAGGTCTCCACCTCCTTGGCTTGATTTAAACTCTAGGAGAGTATCTGGAAACAGCTCATTTTACCTGTAGTTTAGGAAAATGATTGAATTTGGTAAGAAATTTTGTAATTTTTCACAAGCCTTGGTAACACTTGAAATATTTTTGTGTCTACTCAGTTGTAAAATAAAGATACCCTCTTGCAATCCCGGTCATGTATTCTTATATTATTATTACTTTAAGCAAATATGAGATTTGTCCTAAAACCAGTATAAATATATTTTTATATATTTTTTATGTAATATATATATTTTTTCATATAAAACCAGTATATAGGCTTTTTAAACACTTGCCCTCTTCGCAGGAAATGTGCTTGAGTTTTTATTTGCAAGTGATATAAAGAAAGAAAATCACAAGCATTAATCATGATTGTTCCTTTGACTAGTATGCTGAATATCTGGGGAAAGAGGCCAGTGGAAAAAGTTGTTTTGGTTTGCAAATTTTCCTTACAAAAACACCTTTCTAACTGTCCCATGTGAACAGTTTGCATCAGTGTCATAGCATATTACACATTTGTGTTTAGTTCCTTATGTATGTACTTAGTCTACCTAGAAGAAAATATAGCTCACATAGATTTCATAACTCCAGGATTTCTCTGAATGCCTTTTCCATTGATAGGTCTTAGGATTAAAAACTAAAGAGTTAGTTTTGTTGGTTTTATTAAGTTTAAACAGAAAAAAAATATTTCTTGACAGTTCATTGGGTAATTTTTTAGTTGTTGGCTTGGGGTTTTTGTTTTTTTTTAATCAGCTTTACTAAACTGATAAAAGAGTAAAACATTTTAAAAAGATAGTGTAAAATGCTTACCAGATAATTATTACAAAATTTTACATCACAAGAAGACTTCATATAAAACATGAAATAGAAGGGATGAGCCCAACAAAAACACCCAAAGAAGACACATACAAAAGGTTAAATCTTTTTTTATTACTACCTTTGCATGTTTCTCTAATGGTAAATGTTATTGCTTCTCAGACCAAATCTGTATACCACCCTACACTGTATTTGAGTTATTTTAACAATTCTAATTAATATGCATGTCTTGACTTTAAAAGGTAGATCCATGAAATAAGTAATAAGTAATTAATTACAAATAATATACAGGACATTGTGTATGTTACCTGTTCTTTAAGAAGTGTAGTGAAGTAGAAAACCTTAGTTTTTTGTATCAGGATTTGAAATTAACTCCTGTTTCTGCTATTCATACTTTGACCTTGTATAAGTTTCCTTTCCATGTCTGCTTCCTTATCTTTTAAGTCAAAATGATTTTTGCCTCCTGATTTATCATGTAGCTTAATTGATATTACACAGGCACACATATACACTGAGTACAGTGCTTGGCATATATTGGGTATTTGATATAGGAGAGTAGTTGTGGTAGTTTGTTGCTGTTGTTTTTATCATCATTATTATTACAGCTTGTTACTGTTCTTCCAAGATGGAAAAATTCTGATTATTGTTAGGTTAGGTCAGTGGTTCTCAAACCTTAGCTTGCATCAGAATTACCTGGAGGCCATGTTAAAACACAACCTGCTGGGTCATATCTGCATTGTTTCTGGTTCAGCAAGTCTGTGGATGGGACTTGAGGATTTTCATTGGCTAGCAACTTCCCAAGTGATGCCAGTGATCATTGTTGGTCTTTGGCTTCATAGTTTGAGAACCTGGTTCTTCAGGAGAGAAAGAGTATCTTTGGAAGGGAAAAATTCTAATAGTAAATGACTGAAATTTTCTCTATTCAGTTGAAGCTTTTTGCTCAATATCATCATAAATTATTCCAAACATATGTACAAAAAGAAATAGGTATTTGCAATAATAGATAGATGTGTAATTTTAGTTGAATTTTAGTTTGGTATCTGTGAAGAAATCAACTTAAGTGAAAAAAATCAATTTCCCAGAACTAAGTTCTCCCCATAAAATTAATATTCAGAAACAACTTGAACATTAATAAGGCCCCTAATTTCCCACAAAAGCAATTCCTCAGTCAGGTAAATGTCATGTTAAAGAAAATTATTTGTGTGTGTGTGTGTGTGTGTGTGTGCATAAAGTAATAATTTTACCTAATTTTATCTGATCTCTCCTATGTACAGTTGAGCTTTTGTCTTAACTTTTACCTTTAAAATTTTTAGCTATGAAGTTGGAAAATAAAATTTGAGAAATATTATTATTAAACTATTTTTGAAAAATCTTAAGGTAATTTACTGGCCACTTGTGCTGATACTCTTCAACAAAATTATCTTCATAGTGATGAAAGCAAACATTTCATAGTGATGAAAGCAAGCAGAAATATTGGTTTCTGTCAAGTATTAATATGCAGCTCACTTCTTTTGATTATATTTAAAGAATTCATGGACTTAAAACTTTTAAGTTGTGTTATATTCACAGAATAAACTTTTCACAAAGGCTTCTGAGTTTTTGTTTGTTTTGTTTTTTAAGGATGTTTTCAGTGTTTTTCCAGAAATTGGATTAGGAATTAAGAAATTTAGTTCCATAGTATATTTATTAACAGACTTCATCAAACTACAGAAAATCCATTGACGTGCCATGTCCCAAGTCAAAGTCCCCATCTGTAAAGTGGTTGTGGTTTATTATTCACAGGTAAAGAACATGCATTTAATAGCTTCAACTCATAAGAAGCCTTCAGTATGAATTAGTATTATAAGTAATAACTTGATGTTATCATGGTATCATTGAAAAGTATTGAACTGATCTAGACCATAATCAGGTCTTTAATCTCACTTCTATGAGGTTCTTTCTTTCACTTTTGCAAATAACTTAATATTTTCAGAGAATTGAAGAAGTGTAATTTTAAGTAAGGGATTAGATTATTTAAATCAGAAGTATTCCTTATCCCCTAAAAATTCTGTGAGTTCTAGGATTCAGCCCATTATTTATATAAAGAATTTCCTGTATGTACATAAAAATTTTGACACTGTATTTGCTTATTCTCTTTTAGATAATCTTGATTTGTCAGCAGACTATGTCGTCTATCCTATATTTAATTTAGCTAGAATAATTCACTGTCCCATTAATTTAAAAATTTGTTATATATAGTCTCAATGAGTAAGATTTTTAAAATAATTTTATCCACAGAGAATTTTTAGGTGATGGAAGCCCCCCCCCCCCATTATCAATAGCTTTCTCAAACTAAAGACTTAAAAGTTTCAGAACTCTTTCAGTCTGACTTCACCTTGTGGGTCCAGCACTGAATAGGATTTTTAATGCTTAGGATTCTTTATCATATCATAACCTGCTATAAATGTGATTTTTTTATACCTAGAACTCTTTCTAGCCTTTAAACGATTAAACTGTAATCTAAAAATCTTTTCTCCATTAAAGCAAATATATACATAGAACTTCTAATACCTGATCTTGGAATATTTAAAAAATTTAAGTGTTCTGTTCCTAAAACAAATGAAGAAAACTTGGGTTCATTGATTCATCAGCCATTAATTACACATCCTCTGGGAGCCTGGAAGCTCAGTAGTATTCTCAGTAGTAGGTAGTGATAAACAAAACAGACACACTTCTTGCCCCTACAGATTTTACAAAGGTGTGTGTGTGTGGTATGTGTTGTGTGTGTACATATAACATAAACATATAAAAAAGATACTATCAGTTAATCAGTTAGGGAACAAAGAGATTGTAAGCTTTATGTCTTTTAAGAAGACATAGAAGAGAAAAAAATGATTTAAAAAAATGGGAGACAAAATTTGATTCTGAATCTGATATATAAGGTCTGAGATTTTCTTAATTATAATATTAAAATATTTATGGTCCCTAGGTTTAAACTGATCTTTTTTTTTTTTTTTTTTAATATGTAGCGGGGGGAAATGTGTGCATTGATGAAGTTACTCTAGTTTAAATTCTGATTATACAGTGTAGTTTACCAGTGCACAATGATGAGGATAAAACAATTGAAGAAAATTTTAATTTATATAAATATAACTTAGTGGAGTATATGTCAGGAGTATATTTGTCAGTTACAAATAGACTTTTTACCCAATAACTACACATACTTTAGAACTAAAATTAGCCAATTTTAATAAAAGAATGCTACAGCAAGAAGATACTTCCTCCACTAATATAGATATTTATCTTCAGCCAGGCAATAAAATTCTTTCAAAGCCTGGACAGAGTAGGGAGAGAGGGAGAGGTGCCTGCACAATGCATTAAGAAGGCTGTGGTGATTGTGATGGTGATTCTGGTGTTTGCTAGTTTTTACTGATAAGCAAAGAAGCTCTGTGCCTTAGTTAACTCTGAAGTGAACTTTTTAAAAGTCATCACAGGGTGCCTTCTTTATCAACATTTGTCAGTGGACTGAATTTTTTCAACATTATTTATGGATAGGGGTGTAATTAAGTAGTTTTGGTTTTGGATCTTGGGCTAAAAATATTAAAAATAATGTGTTATACTAGAAAAATCATGTGCTTTGGTGTACTACAGATCTGGATCCTAATCCTAGATCTGCCATTTATTGTATGACTTGGGCAAGTTACTTGTGAGCCTCATTTTCCTCCAGTGCAAATATGAAGATAACGATATCTACTTTACAGACTTACAAAGATGAGAATAAACTTAGCTTTGTCTCTAGTTTTGACATATATTAGGCTTCTGATAAATTATACCTGCTATTTCTGTAATTGTTATTGTAATAACCTTAAATTCTAAATACTTGGTTTTATATCTCAAAATTTAATCATGACCTAGGTTTTCATTTTAATTTAATAATGAAATTTTCACTTAATTTAATAATGGAAACATCTGCTGTGGGATTAATTTGAAATAAGACAGATAAGGTGAAATATGTTAAGCCATGGTACTAACATTACTTGTTGGCTTTCTTTAGTACATAATACATATTATGGTTCATAGTGTTTTAAATGGGATTAACTGAGATAGTTTGTGCTCCTTGAATTCAGGTTGTAGAATTAATAATTTTCGAACCTCTAGGTTTTGGATTTAAAAAGGTATGTTTTTGGTTTGCTTTTTTTTAATGTACAAAGTCATATTCTGTACCTCTTGATCTTGGAGTATCATGAAGAATTTGCTTCACCATTCTTAAATTTTAAAATTCATGTAGTGTTTTGAAAGTTTAATTAAAATGAGCTATATAGTTCATCTTCAGATGTGCCTACAGCAAAACCACTGTCTAGTTTGGGGTGGCAGTTACATCTTTTCAGGGTTTTTGGGTTTGTGAAATGGGAAGTCTGGAGATGTGTGAGTTTTAAGTTCATTGTTTTCCCAAGATAGCAAGTTTAGAGTAACTTTATTTGCTTTTTTTAAAAAAAACATGTGATAAGACAAATTGGAAAAGCCTTTATTTCTAAACTTTTTTCATGGAAAAAAAAGTAAAGTTTTAAGTTTTATACTTCATTGAAGGTAGCTTTACTTTAAATATCCTATAATTTTCAATGCTTTTTATTAGTGATATAGTAATTTCTCCCTTCAAACTTTTATTTTTGAGCAAAAAAATGCATAGAATTTGTGTCATAAAGTAAATGTTCATGACTAGTCTCTGGCTTTTATGCAGAAAGTCTACATTTTTGTACTTATCAGATAGAAACTACAGCATATTATTTTTCTTCAAGCTATATTTTACTTAGCGGGAAAAAGTTAATATCTCTGTTCGTTCTCATACCTGTAGTTATTTTATTTGTTCATATAGTAAATATATTTTGACAAAAATGTGAGATCAAACGAAAGGAAATCATCTAAATTTTTAAATTTGGTTTTATAGGAGTTCCATCTGGAATATGACAAATTAGAAGAACGGCCTCACCTGCCATCCACCTTCAACTACAACCCTGCTCAGCAAGCCTTCTAAAAAAAGACTTCCCTTTTCTTGGGGTATGGCTGTCTCAGCACAATACTCAACATAACTGCAGAACTGATGTGGCTCAGGCACCCTGGTTTTAATTCCTTGAGGATCTGGCAATTGGCTTACGCAAAGGGTCACCATTTGAGGTCCTGCCTTACTAATTATGTGCTGCCCAACAACTAAATTTGTAATTTGTTTTTCTCTAGTTCGAGCAGGGTCTGAATTTTTTCATTTATTTTCTTTTTTGCCAGCAGACAGACTTGGGTCTGTAAAGACAAGCAAGTACACTGAAAGAAGTTTACCATTTAGTTTCTAAAATGTAAAAAAGAAAACCCACAAAAGACTCAACAGAATTAGACCACAAAATTTGCATTGTTCATTGTAGCACTATTGGTAATAAAATAACAAATGTTTGTGCATTTTTATGTGAAGATCCTTCTCGTATTTCATTTGGAAAGATGAGCAAGGTCTGCTTCCTTCATTTTACTTCCCCTTCTGTTTTTGAAAGGCAGTTTCGCCAAGCTTAACGCAAGAATATATGACTGTTTAGAAGAAAGATATTGCCACAATCTCTGGATGGTTTCCAGGGTTGTGTTATTACTGAGCTTCATCTTTCCAGAATGAGCAAAACACTGTCCAGTCTTTGTTACGATTTTGTAATAAATGTGTACATTTTTTTTAAATTTTTGGACATCACATGAATAAAGGTATGTATGTACGAATGTGTATATATTATATATATGACATCTATTTTGGAAAATGTTTGCCCTGCTGTACCTCATTTTTAGGAGGTGTGCATGGATGCAATATATGAAAATGGGACATTCTGGAACTGCTGGTCAGGGGACTTTGTCGCCCTGTGCACTAAAGGGCCAGATTTTCAGCAGCCAAGGACATCCATACCCAAGTGAATGTGATGGGACTTAAAGAAGTGAACTGAGACAATTCACTCTGGCTGTTTGAACAGCAGCGTTTCATAGGAAGAGAAAAAAAGATCAATCTTGTATTTTCTGACCACATAAAGGCTTCTTCTCTTTGTAATAAAGTAGAAAAGCTCTCCTCACTGCAGTGTTGACTTTGATTTGAAATTGTGAAATTATTTCTTCAACAGGAAAAACAGGAAAAACAACCTAAAGTTTTACAACTGAACGGTGTGACTAAACAATTTAAAACATAGTCTTTTTTTTCCAGCTTTTGACAGCTTATTTAATGGAACCATATACCGTTTCACTTGTAGGTTAAAAATGTAGACATTCTTAGTATTAACCAAGTTCAGAACAGAGAAAACTATTTTTTAAATGAATAATGGCAGCACTAGAAATAAAACTTCCTGAACACTCTTGAGACCCAATCAAAATACTCTGCTTTTGTGAGAAGTGTATAAGATATTTCTTGTTAGACCTTTGAGATATATCTTAAAGAAGTAATGTGCAAATTAAGGTAAGCCAAAGAGGAGGAGTGGGGTAGACTTCCCCTTCAATTTGATCGCCTGGTTATTTCACATGCAAGTTGATGGATTCTTTTCCATCTACAGATACTATATTTAAAAATGTTTGAAGGCTGAAGCTATGAAAGCAGAACTAGAGATAGAAGTTAAAAAAAAAGTGTTGATTCTTTAAATTTTCATTTTTAACGTATTTTTCTATGAAGAATGGAAGTTTGTTGACATGTACCAAATCATGTTTGAAAATGAAACATTTATGACCTTGCTGTATTTGCATATCAGGAATATAAAATGACTTAAGATTTACCTTTTTCTATATATTTTGAGATATGAGAAACTGACATAAAAATATCAGGATTTTTTAATCTTTAGATTTAAACAAAGCATCTCTTCTGTAGGAAAATGGAACTTATGTATTCTAGTTTAACTTTTGTGCAAAAAAACTTCACAGAACACATATGTAATTTGACATCTGTTAAATCCAGAAATCGATTTCTTAAAAAGAGGTTACATTTTTTCATAATAATTTACTTTGTAAAATGTAACTTTTCCTACATAATCATAAGAAACAGCTGGAAAGAAAAAAGAAAATGGAAGGGGATCTTTATTCTTATGAGTATAAACATAACAGTATAAAGTGTCACCACCATCATGACTGGTAGGTACTGTGTGAATGACTCAAAAACAAAACAGCTCAAGTGGTTTGTTGTCTGGCCTCTAGCTGTTTGCTTTAACTGCCATATGAAAAGTTTTAAGTGCACATTTTTCCAGTTTTCTGAATTCTATTTACCCTGAATCATCAAAATGAGAAAACTCTTACATGTAAACCAACTTTTTATAACTTGTTAATAAAATTGTCAGAAATTACCATGTTCTTGACTCCAAATCCAAGTATTAAAATTCGATTTGAAATCTTTAAAATATGATATTAAACTCTTTAATATAACACACTGTTATATTCCTTGGTTTTATAACTTGTGGTCATATTGTACATGTACAGAAGTTGACATAAACTAATATTTCAAATTTTCTTTCTTAGATTTAATTATCTTAATTTTTCCCTATATAACTAGTGTCATGTACATTATGTTAAATAATTTTTGTGATTATACTATAATTGGCTTTCTGGAAACAAAAGCTATTTAGTTGCAAAGGAAAGGCCTTTCAGCTGTTTAGTTTCAAATATATTTTATGCTTCTTGTGGTGATACTATAACAAACTCCATCTACAGGGATTTTTCATTGCACAGATAGTTTTCCTTAGATACAACAAATTTTAATTAAGGACTGAAAATTTATTTAAATTCTTACAGTATATAAACCATTTAACTGGTCTTTTCCTTTTTGCCACTGAACTGGGGACACAGTAGGTGCTTGGTAAATACATGTTGATTGAATGGTATAAATTGATAATTTTAATTTGAAAATAAAATGCACAGATTAAAGCAGTTGGCTTTGAAATAACTTTTTTGCTGTAGTTCCATTTTCAAGAGAATCTTTTTTAAGTATTTTCAATTAATTTTCAAAACTTTCAAATTTTTCCCACTCTACCCTTTCTAACTGATCCTTCCTCTGAATCCTCCTTCATTCCAAAACCATAGATCTTCCATTCTTTGGCATCTGAGCATGGCTGCACTTATTTTAACTTAAATTTGGTTAATAGCATCAATTTTGCAAAAAAGTTGCTGAAAACCTAAATGTGCATGTGTGTAAAGAAAGGGAATGTCTGTCTTTAACGTTCTCTCTTAACTATGGTTTGTGTAGTTAACAAAGAAGATATAGGAATACTTAGTAACTGGTTCTGTTAAAACAAGTCTCTGGAAAAATAAGATAAGCCAGACATAATTGTCTTTAAAACCTAGATCCTAAAGGCATGTCACAAGGTTTTCTCCTTGCTGCTAGTGTTACTGATGAATTATATCATACCATGAATAAATGACAGATCTAGGAGATGAAGCAAATAAACACATTAAAAGTCAAAATTGGAATCTAAATCTAACCCAGTAATTTTTTTTTTTAAGTTACATCAAATAGGATATATTGCACCAGGATAATTACTTAGTTTTACACTTTGTTTTCTTAAAGGATGGTGGAATATACCATGGCTTAAGAGTGGTTCATATGTAGATCAATGTAAATTGTGATTTTATTGCCAAAAATACTGAAGTAATCTTCAACTACATTAACAAAAGTAGTGCTCAGAACAAGGTAGGAAGTCTGCTGTGTTTTAAGAGCTGCCATGACTGGGGAAGGCAGAAGAGAATGTGGGATGCCTTCTAGCTACCAAGCAACATACTAAGTGTTTCACATGCATTAATACATCTGTCTTCAGCATAGCATCATGAGGTAGGTTTTTGAGTATCCCCAAAATATCATTAAAAAAAAAAAAAAACAGGAAGAAGGAATGTTTAGCATTAGAGAATGAACTTTGGAAACAGTATCTGTCTTCAAGTATCAAACTCAAGAGCTGTCAGTGAAAGACATATTTCATTTGTGTAACTGAAGGGCAGAACTATGACCCGTAAGAAAGATTTCAGCACAATATTAAAATGTAACTGAGGTAATTGAGATTTTGAAATGAGTTGGTTTGTAAGGCATTAAATTCAACCTCATCCAACAGCCGAGGAGAGGGGCTGGACAGTGTTCTGTATATAAGGTAAGGAGTTGAACTGGGTGACCTCAAGAGTTCCTGTCATTGATTGAAAAAATGTTTAAGTGGGATTACTGTATTTCAGCAAACCTATTTGCCAACAATTTTAAGGTACACCATTATTTTGTATATAAGGAAAAAAAGTTCAATTGAAGTACGAGAAATCACCAACTACAAAATGCATAGCAATTTCAAAGATGTCATGCATGGGAAGAATTGAGTTGATGAGATGTAGCCTTTGAAGAAGAGACAGTGGACAACTAAGGAGAGACATAACAGCTGTCTTCAAATATAAGAAGGTCTTAGATGAAGAAGAGGGCAAGTCTCAAACCAGAAGGTGGAAGTTGAGACATTTTGGTTCTCTATTTTAAGATGCTATCCCACGGTATTAAATGCTTCATGAAGTGAGGATTCCATCAACAAAAAACGTTCAAGCAGAAACTAGATGACTATCACTTGCTATTCAGAGGACTGAGAATAACGTTGGATCTGATAACTTCAGCTCTTTTAAGATGTTGATACTCTTCTTCACCTGAAGTTGAATAAGGTGTCGTCATCAGGGCTAAAAATGATATACTTAAAACACTGACCTAGTCTAAAATGTGCTCTTCTCTGAGTCATAGGTAAGGTTTACTTTAAATTACTGCAATATCTTTGGAAAGGAATTTAATCAAAAAAGAGTTACGACAACTTCCCTCAACTTTTTTTTTTTTTAATTTTGGAATAGGAACATGAAACAAAGCACAACAAATAGTAAAGTATATGTATGTGTATATTCACCAGATTTATGTATGTAGTTTTACATTCAAAGGAGTGAAGAGAGAGTTATTAAATTTTGAGGTGAATTTCAGCCTGAAATTATACATTGCATTAGTGTGCAATCTCCTGTTTTTTGCCACAGTAGTGATCACAAAAATTAGATTAAGCAATAATCCTCTTATTCATAAAGCTGATCATTAAATTTGATTATAAAAAGCTCAGTTTGGATTTAAACCACTTCAGGAGCTCACCAGAGTCAAAGTTAGCCTCTAGTTAGGTAATTCTCAATGCATAAGAATCAACTGCAAAATATTAAAATACATATTTTAGGCCTCATGTTTACATACTCTGATTTTTGAATGTCTAGGGAGAGGCCAAGAATACAAAATTTGGTTAAGTATCACAAGTCATTTCTGAAGTTAGTGAACTACCAATTACACTTAAACTATACTTTGCCTACTGTGTAAGTATTAACTAGAATAAAATAAAATTCTGGTGAAACCCAACGAAGTTGATCTTGGGACAATGCATTCCTGTGTATCGGGGGTACTTTTATTTTATTTTATTTTATTTTGCAGTACTCGGGCCTCTCACTGTTGTGGCCTCTCCCGTTGCGAAGCACAGGCTCCGGACGCGCAGGCTCAGCGGCCATGGCTCACGGGCCCAGCTGCTCCGCGGCATGTGGGATCTTCCCGGACCAGGGCACGAACCCGTGTCGCCTGCATTGGCAGGCAGACTCAACCACTGCGCCACCAGGGAAGCCCTATCGGGGACATTTTTACTTGATACTTTACTGTATCAACCAATGTTCTAGTGCAGAAACTACATTATTACAGTAGCATTTATTAGAGCAGAATATGAGGAGAGCTAAATCCATTTCCAAGTATAACACAACAAAGATGCTTTTTTTTCCCCCCCCCTCAAATCTTAGCTATTTCCTAGGGATATTTTTGCTAGATTTCCACTTCAATTTGTATGCATAAGAACTGCTAAGGGCAGCTTGTGCGTTATCAACTCTGTGTCCATCAACTGAAACTTTTTTTAAATCCAGTCATCCTGTTGTATAAATACTACGACCTGACAAAATTTTAATGATATGTTTATCATAAGAATTCAATATTCAGTTTAAAAAGCTAAATATTTTCAGTTGTCTGCCACAGTTTTCCCTCGGTCATTTAAATGACTTTTTAAAAAAAATTTTTTTATTTTTGGCTGCATTGGGTCTTCGTTGCTACGCGCGGGCTTTCTCTAGTTGTGCCGAGCGGGTGCTACTCTTCATTGCGGTGCGCGGGCTTCTCATTGCGGCTGCTTCTCTTGTTGCGGAGCACAGGCTCTAGGCTCACGGACTTCAGTAGTTGTGGCTCGCGGGCTCTAGAGCACAGACTCAGTAGTTGTGGTGCAGGGGCTTAGTTGCTCCGAGGCATGTGGGATCTTCCTGGACCAGGGCTTGAACCCATGTCCCCTGCATTGGCAGGCGGATTCTTAACCACTGTGCCACCAGGGAAGTCCCTAAATGAATGACTTCTTGAAAATGCACAATGATGATAGTCTTCATTGTCATAATTTCCTGTCTCTGTTGAAAACCCAAATTATTGCATAGTCTAATAGCTTATGACCACCACTTGACACTTGCCAAAATACTTTAGCTAATAACCTACTTACCTTCTCTATAGCAAAACTAAGTTTTCATTTCCAAGGCCTGATAGGCTTTTACCACACCACAAATATATTTCAACATTTTTGTTAGAGAAGGTGAAATAAAACGCCCTATGCCCCAAGTGGTAGTTCCTTTAAGCAACAATTGAGGATACTAGCTGAGGAAAACAAACAGAAATTTTCACTATGAATCAGAGCTAGTCTCATTAATGTTCATAAGCATATCCTGAAACATAATGTTCTGCTAACATGCATTTGTATTTAGCCTATGTAACGTTTTGACCACATAATTTAATTTTTAAAACTTTTAACAAGTGATGTTTTTCTTCCAAACTAATCTATTCTCTAGTATATACTGAAGATAATTTTAGGAATAACACATGAGAGTTCTTTAAACATTTTGGAAGAAATGCGTCAAATTTCAAGAGTGTTATGATGTCAACAAGTGTCTGGGTGAACTTGATTATTTCTAGGACCAGCTCAATGGATACTCATTTTTAATGAAAAAACTTTGAAATTGATGATTATTCAAAAATATACAGCTCAATGAGGAAAAAAATACATGCAGGAATGACATAAATAGTTTCATCCTTTTATAAAAATAAAGATTTGGGGCAGCCAGAATGCTTTGAAGCTACCTTTAAATCTGTTACATACTGAACATTTATTTTAAGATGTAGTTTTAATTACCATATGTAACAGTTGCATGAAAAATAGTCTGTCTTTAGAGAAAATTTGAGCTGTTAAATATTTCTCCTCTTAGGAGTCAGACATGTTTGATTTTTTATTTTCAATGTTTTAAG